TGCTTATAATCTTTTTGAGGAATTTTATCCATTAATACTATGTATTCATATAAATTGCAGAACAATATGTAAAATTGTTATGTCTAAAAGCATGTAAAATGTGCCAGTGGCATTCCTGCAGCAACCAAAGTTAGGAGCATGACTCGCATTATAATTTCTTAAAGCCCATTGTCAAACTTGTTTCACCCGAATTTCAAGATACCGTCGGATAATTTTTTTTTAAAAAAATGTTGAAAAATTAACCATTGCATTTAAGCAGTAAAAAATGTTTGGTATAGTAATAAATTAGAGATTAATAGTTGATGCATCATATACATTATATGCCCCATCAAATTTTAAAATTGAATTTATTTTTGATGATGCATTATGATCTCATTCATTAACGGTATATAAAATTATATACCATCAATGCATCAAAATGTACTGTAAAATTAACCATTAAATGAGAAATAAATTCTCATTCTATAAGATAACTTTTATTTTGGAATATCAAATCTATTCAAAAATTAATTAAGTTGAACCAATCAGTAAGATTGGACGGGTCCAGTTGCTTATTGATGTAACTATTAGTAAGATATCCGAGTGATTAATGTTGCAACCTATAGATTAGTAGTTGAATTCGTGGTTTCACAAATTTCGTCCTAACCCAAGAAGCAAAGCTAATAATGCAACTGAAAACCAGAAATATAAAAGCTTGCTTCAACAGTTGACTATTAAATAAGCAGGGCATCCATGGGGTTATTTTGTAACCCAAATGGGTTATCTCAATAAATGGCGACAAGCAATAAGATAAAATGCACTCAACATATCTGTAGTTTGTATTCACTATCTCAAGACCATATTATACTAGGAAAAACAGAAGCAGGCATTATTTCAAGCCGAATATCAAATATGTATCAAGGTTGTGATACGCCGGAGCTGCGAAATTCGTTTAGCTTCACTACCTGGGCTTTAAAAGGCACGCCCGGGACGCGAGGCACAGCCAGGCACTGAAGGTAGTTCCCGCCTGGGTTGAGGCGAGGCGAATTACAAGAGGCGACGGAAGGTGTGCGCCTAAGGGCTTTAGGCGCCGGGCACAGCACCTTTGCGCTTTTCAGATTTTTTTTAAGATATTAATATTTTTAATAAATAATTATATTTTAATTTAAAAAAATCATCTAACTTTAATCTCAGTCTCTCAAGATGTAAAATTGGGGGAAAAAACTCACCAAACATAATCCCTAACATTCTCTCTCCATTGTCCTCTTCACTATAATATTATATAAAGAACTATAATATTATTTATCATGTTAGTTTGAGTACAAAATATAATATACACTTGATCTATATTATATTACAAACAGTGAGGCCCTCACATACGAAAGGGACGCGCCTACGCCTAGGCTCCAAGGATCTTTTCACTACTCTATATTCTCACAATCTCCTAATCATAATTACAGTCAGCCTCAACAGGCACAGCTTCAATGGCACATCAAAGCCAGCTATTTCAAACCCACAATCTTTATAATGTAAAGCATGTAGTTGGAACAATTTTGGGCAAATTCTATCCGGAGCCAACACAGACAAATAATTATATAAAAAACAGAACACCAATCAAATGCAACTCAAAACATTCATTAAACCCAAAAACCATGCACTAAATTGAGAACAGTAGCACATATATAACACCTCAAAAAGACAGTCTTTCTAAAACCCCTCAAGCTGATGCTAAAATAAAGACATTTTTAACACATCAAAAAGATAACCAGACCGGGAACATACAAAGCTCATCCTCCAATCGTCCCAATCGGATCAGATTTAGTCACCCTTCTTCCTGAAAGAGCAACCTTCAGTGAGCCTAGCTCTACCGCCAGTCGGCTGGCATAGAACCGTCTGGCAGTTTCCACACACCACCACAGTTTGAGAGTGGCTAAATACAGTCGTTCTGCCATTTAAAGAAACCCAGAAATTTAGATTAAATATCCCTCAAGAAAATTCCATTTAAAACAAACAATAACCTAAAATACCAATGTGAACTTACATGTTGAAGCAGCCTTGGCATTTGACATCCTTTGAGATAGCAAAAATAGAGGAGAACCAAGTTAACCCACAATACAGAACAAATCATGATATGAAAAACAAAGAAAAGTCTAAACATATTACCATGAAGAAGGAATTGGGAGACTGAACGAGACGCTTGAGCTTGTGCTTCTTCTTCTCGAGCTCGGCAGGAGGATTCAACAAATCGACATCGTTTTGAAGAACCTAAAACCACACCCAACATAACAACATAAAAAACATTAACAAAGCGAAGTGCAATGTTATTGGGTTAAAAACTATAAGAGAAATACAAAAACAGAGCCTGAAAATTGATAAATAAATAAAAAACGTGAAGTGAACAGATGGAAATGCCTAAAATGAAGATGAAGAGGAAAGTACGAAGGGAGATTTACCATGTTTGCGTTTTGCGGAATGAAAGCTTGAAGGTCGACAGCGCCGCCGTGAAAGGATTTTAGTTTAGGGTTTGGGATTTGGATTTTTGGGCCTCCCGATATATAAATGTTTTATTATTTTATTTTGATCAAAAATAATATTTAATTAACAATTAAATATTATTAATTAAAAAAGAGTTTACAGTTTTTGGATGAGCCCATACGAGTAAATACTATTTACGCATGTGAGATTTTCAGAGGAATATTTTTATTCTTTTATATACATTTCAATAATCTTTTATTCATTTAACCAAACACTGTAATCTTACATTCCTGCTAAATGAATCAAACACAACAATACAACATTCCCATTAATGTGTTAGGTAATGTTACATTCCGGTAATCCTATTCCGGAAGGTAATGCTACATTCCATGAACCAAACGCACCTCTAAAGAAATAAAATTTCCAATTCCCAGTTGATGTGAGATTCCGTATGTATAAATAATCAACCTTGATATCAATACAAGACTCGTCAACTCTCAAAATCGTTTTATTTCAGGGCTCTAGTTTTCCTCTTCAATGGCAACGGTTTCCATTCCCTATCAATCTAATGTTGTTTTCCACCGTCTTCGTCGTATTATTGCACTACAAACTTCTCCTATACTTCCCCATCACGCCCAAGTTAGGTTAAGCATCAACATTAATCTCGTCTATCGTGATCCTGTAACTAATAATTTGATCCCTTCTTCCATCAATCCCTTTCCCTCACAGGAACTCATTTGTTTTAGTCTCAACGTATTGCAAGACCTTGACATGTTTAGTGATATTGTTACTCCAGTATTTACAAGACTTGGAATTAATGTACATTTTTATCTTACTCTGATACCCTTATAGAAATCGTACAACGTGGAATTGGAATTACAAGTGAAGCGTATGACAGAGGACATTATTGCAGACTCTTGTATTTAGAATTTGTAGCTTCTTTGAAAGAAAGCCAGGTGTTTGCATATTCTTAGTAATATATTGTTTTGATTATATTTGAATAAAAGTAGTGGTTTAAGTATCAAAAGCGGTGTATTCTTATACAAGAACCATGCTTGTACCCTTTGGAAGATAATCTTCTTATTAATATTATAGTTTTTGGCCTCTCTATTCTCATACAGCAATCTGCTTAACACGTCCATTGCATTTCTGTTAGTGCGATTCAGAACACACAGATCGGAATACTTAGTGCAGGTTTTGAGGTTTCACACATAAATCAATGGCTCTCAGGGAACTAGAAAATCCTTTGGTTTGACAAGATATAGGTTTTGTCAAATTATATGATAGTTCCATCCAACTTTGATGTTTATGCATTTCCTTCTACCTTCATACTTGGCTTGCCTTTCTGTTGCTTTGCCTTCTATGTTTACGGCTTTCGTATATCGAGTAATTCTGGTTTACAGGCAAATGCACCAGACACTTGAGAAGATTAAGCATGTGTATACTACGTTGTTGAAATCTGAATCTCAAACTTTAAATTCATGAAGATATTATATTATATTTTAAAAACAACAACATATAAAAATTAAAATTAAATATTAAATATTAAATATATTATTTTTTAATTTGCTCGCGAATTTTTTGAGTCGGATATCAAATAGCTCACTTTAGGTCGTCAAGAACTCGAGTCAAATTCGAGCTCAAATAGAATCCATTTGAGTGTTGATAGAGTCAAACTCGAGTAGAAGGATGATAAAGAATCAGTCAAGGGAGGAACAAATGAGCTCGCAATCTGATATTATACCAAATAGAGGATGATAAATTTGGGGTTTGATCAAAATAGTTGACAAGATTGCATAAGTTTTAGGACTAAAATTGTTATTATATTGTGATATATCATTATCTCCGTTAAGTTTTTGTGATCAATATAGAAATAAAACGTAACATTAAGTATGAATTTACTCTAAAAAACAATGAAGTGACCAAAACATAAACAAGATAATACATGGGATACCAAATAACGGGTTTCGACTCGACTTGACTTGATTGGGTCGAATTTTTGTTTAAAAAAATTGGGTTCATGTCAGGTCGGGTTAGGGTTTATGGTAAAAAATATTCAACCCAATCTGACATGAGAAAAATAAATAATTTTATCTTTATATTTATGGATAATTTCAATAATGTCCCTCTATATATTATTTTTTCAATTAAATCCCTATTTTTATCGAATAAAAATAATATATTTGTAATAAATATATTATTTCGGGTCGAGTCAGGTCAAATTCAGTTTTTATCTCAAATAGTCGGGTTAAATTCAGGTCGGGTGGAGGGTATATATATTTTTGGTCAGGTCGGATTCAGATGGAGTATGTATAATCTTCAGGTCGGGTCAGATTGACCGAAAATCTGACCCGACACAACCAATGCCCTTCCCTTATACGTCTCTTCTGAACAAAATTCAAAACTCAATTACCTTAAAAGAGAAAAAGATACATGGACATAGAAACTTTTGTTTAAAATCAAAACTACTCTCATAATCTACTTAAAAAAATCAAAACATAAAATGATTTGACATTACTTATTTACAGTAATATCAAACAAACAACGATTAAATTATTCAGCCCTATTGTACATTTTCACTTTTGACTATACCACCGGGATTGTCTGTATACTAAACCCTAGCTCTACCAAACATGCACGTTGATCTTATTCTCACGTGACATTTTCAAGCACATATAGCAAAAAAATGGGTCTTAAATGAGTTTTTCTTTTTCCATACCAAAAACAAAGAATATCATTTGACAGGCACATGAAACGTACCAATGGTGTGCAAGAAAGACCATTTCCATTATCTTCCGGCCATAAGGTTGACAAGAGCTTGATTTTCATAGAAAGAACCAACATCCCAATCCTCTGTCGAGGATGAAAGTGTCATTAAAGCAACCACTATGGATCTCATACTTGGTCGTAGCTGAGGGTTTTCATGTGTACACGCTTTGGCAAGCTGAGCCATCTGCAATTATATAACATCCTTAGCTTTTATCAAACTGAAAACACAATGAAATGAAAATCATAGCATATTCTTTCCCAGGAACTGGTCTCACCTTGAACACAGCGTCTAGTGTGTAATTTTCTTCAAGCCTCTCATCAATAAGCTTGCAAAATGCTTCTTTAGGATCAGGCTCATTAAGAGCATCCTCAAACTACAGAAGGAAAGGAGAGAAAAGGGTTTTAATTTGCCAAAAGAATTACTCAAACCACATTCCAAATTTCAACAATTGTATAAATCATTCAGCCAATTTGCTACAACTTCTCATGAATTGGAGTAGAGGGATTGAAAGAATATTAACCAGGGCAACAAGACCCTTTGATTCAGCAAGAGAGTCATTAGCCTTGACAATAGCTTCTTTAGCAGAAATAAGCTCATAGAGTACTACCCCAAAGGCATATACATCTACTTTGGGAGAAACATCACCGTATTGCGCATATCTGCAAACAAACATGAATTAAGTAAGTCCATTTTTACATGAACACCAATTTTTAGGCAGATGATAAAGCTCCTTAAGTACCGACTTCCAATGAGGGCATTCCAGAATACTAAACAAAATCAATTTTTTTTTCTATTCCAGAGCTAATGTAGTCTTATGTAGAATCTTTCAACTGAAATTCCTACTAATAAAAGAGCATAGTTAGCTTTCACTCCATTAGAGTAAACAGAAGCTGTGCAAGTGCAAAAAAGGGTAACTGATATTATATTTATCTTCCTTGCCAAATTAAAATTGGTATGTGGTGTTTTCGGTTAAAAAAATTTAACATCAGAAATATGGAGTATGATAATTGAACACTAATATCATGTCCATAATGATTGCAGAATTAAGTTCTGATATCCTCACCTCTCATGTGAAAACCACTTGCTTGTAGAAAAATCAAGCAAAATTAAATGGTAGAAAAATTCAAGAGAGTTTTTGTGGATATCCAGTAACGAGCAAGGAAGATTCTTGTATAATAATCATAACTACCGATAATAAGGACATGATTAAGCATCCCTCAAGTTAAAATCTCATAAAGTAAATGCATCAATATACTTTGACACAAACCTAGTACTGATATCAAGCCATATACTGGTAAGTTTCTAAGTTTCCCACCAATAATACAGAGTTCCTATAATCATGTGAGAACTCCACTTTTCCGAAAAGTTGTATCCTGGTCCAATTTATAGGCTTTCTAACAATAATGTTCACGGCATCTAGTTAAATTTTAGAAGTTTTCATGCCGACAATTTAACTGATTGCAAGCTATGTTGTTAGAACTCTTCATTTTTCTTAAATTACTAGTGTCTAACATTTGTTTCCGATACATGAACATAAAGATATGACTTCCAAGGATCGCACAAATACATGAAAAACTTAGAATAATCTAATCATACTCAATGTCCCATACATATGTATCTGACACTCACACCTGAGTTCCGAGTAACTTAGACTGTCAGTGTTTGTTCACATTTAGTTAAACCATTTTGGATTTGCTTTTCTAAACTAAGGTAGTTTTTAGCTCTGAGTTTCAAAAGTTCTTTTGGGGCTTTTATTTCAGAAAACACAAATAAGAACCAAACCAACTTAAAAATAAATCTAGCAGAAGTGAAATGATATATTTTGGTTTCTATACCCAACTGTTTTTGGTTTGATTTAGAAAATTATGAATTTTCTTATCCAAACTAAATCCCGCACAAACTATCTGATCTACCTCCAATCGCAAATTCATTGACGATATGAAGTTTCTAAATAGCAACCATTAAATTAGGTGAATGAAAATTTTATAAGAACTAGTAATTTCTCTAAAGGATCATTCGCCACTCTAGTCATAAGATCTAATGACAGTTAGTTTAGCCAATTGTTGAACTTAGGCATTGTCATTTACAATAGAATCCAATGAATTAAAAGTTGCATCAAATTAATACGAACAAAATTGATCTTACTCTGGTGGCATGTATCCAAATGTCCCAACAAGACGTGTGGGTAGTGATGCACTTCCGACTTCTGTCAGTTTTGTTAATCCAAAATCTGCAACCTGCATGCTACGTTAAATATGATTCAGTATAATAAAAACAAAAAGCTTTCAAACAGCCCACCTGATAAGAGATCAAGAAAAAAAAATAACCTTTGCACGAAACTTTTTGTCTATCAATATATTGGCTGATTTAATGTCACGGTGAATGTAAACAGGGACAGTATGCTCATGGATATATTCAAGACCTCTGGCTGAGTCGAGGGCGATTTGCACTCGATTAGACCAAGGAAGTGGCTCCCTGCCTGGAAATAAACAACAGATATCTGTTAGTGCTGCTTTGAGTCGATGGAAGTAGCAGTAATTTCCACATAAGGAATCTCACTTTGGCCTCTCAAATGCTGGCTTAGATTGCCATTCTCAATGAATTCGTAAACTAGGAAGAGAGAGCCTTCAACGCAATATCCAATTAAACGCACCTGAATTGGGAGTCCATATTAATATTCAATTTGAAGATAAATAACAGATAAAGATTCAGGCCATAACTTAAATGGATCGATGTCTAGAAAGGATACAAACTTTTTTTTTTCAAGAAAAAGAAAGCTCACTGATTAAGAAAAGCTAAACTACTTAATTAGTTGTGCACTATCACAGCTGCGATCAGATGCATAGTCAATTCAACGAGAATCTACTTAAACATTATACCTTATCTACATTATATTTCTTAAATTAAGAGAAAAGAGGGATTATGAAAACTAATGCATGAAGACTGTGTCGTAGGTGGATATAGACAGTTCCTCCGACTCATTGTACAATGGAGAACTCAAACAGGGCCTTTGGTTGTTTACCTATGGTGTTACACTTGAGTATCTACAAAATGGTATTCAGATTGACAGATGGAACAACGTTAAAGAAATATTTTCAATTTTCTATCCAACGATAGACAATTATTCAAAGATATATCATGCTCTAAAAGTTTCAGTTTGTCATTCACTCGCAGAACCCAAACACGAATGCACTTGATACACCTTTCCAAGCATGAGAAAAAGAAAGTACATTACCAGGTTCAGGTGATGAACACGTGTCAAAACCTTTAATTCAGCTAAAAATTCTTTGGATGCTTGCATATCCATCTTCTTGATTGCAGCTTCCTGCACATTGAGTAATAAACGCATGACAAATGTAATCAACATGAGAGGGCAATGGTTCGTTGATTCAGATGCACGTATATTTTCCCTCAAAAAGCATTAAAAAGAGTAACTGTACATTCAAGAACTGAAAGAAAAAAATTGCGTTCCTAGTAATTTTTATTGGTAAATTTAACCATATCTTGGCTTATTAATAAAAATGCAAGAAACAGCAAAGCTGTGTTTTCTCTGAATATAGGATACAATACGAACGGGTAATTCTGCCGTACGGCAGTCTAATATACGACTAAGAAAAAGCGTTATTAGAAATGTTAATGTTTTTTTAACATTTCTAGTAAAGCGCTACTAAAACTTTATTTTTTTCTACTTGAAATGTTAATTTTGCTATTGGAAATGTTAATTTTGCTACCTAATTTCCGATAGAAAAACCGGTAAAAAATAACATTTTAGGTAGCGCTCAATATTAACATTTCTGGTAAAAAAATAATATTTTAGGTCACGTTTTACCTTAAAAAAAATATTAATATTTTTAATAAAACTTTTTTTTAATCGTATATTAATTTTATCGTACTTTAGAGATCCCCTATACGAAAACACAATACTGACAGGCATGTTCAATAAACATGAAAACAGTGTAATAGATGTGACAGAACACATCAAACAACTCGTATCATTATCGACAGCTAATAATGACTTGACTAAATGTAATCAGACAATAAAAAATATACATTTATGAACTAACCTCGCCTCTCAAATTCGCATAGTAAACAGCCCCAAAGCCACCTTCACCAATCTTGTTAGCCAGACTGAAATTATCAGTTGCCTGGGCAAGTTCTTCATATGAGAATTCAACTGATTTGTCTACAGTAATGCCAGTTAGGCCCGGAGAAGCAGGAACAGCTGCAGTTGATTCTGCTGCATTACTTCCATAAACTAAACAGATCCCCCGAACAAAAGAAACATTGAGAAGAAAAGAAAAAGCAGGAACCAGTCAGCAATTAAGATAATGGTAATCAAGATTTACTAGCAAAGTACACTGGTTTTCATCGAAAATAAATAAATAGATATAATACAAAGTGTAGAGATAATGTTGTAACATTTATCCAAGAACAGAACAAATGATAGCCTAGGTTCTGAGAGAGGATGTAAAGTGCTAATTCTTGAACAGAGAACTTTAGGATATTAGAATGAAGACTAAAAGTATGTTCTTTTGCTCTACGTTCTGGAATAAAGGGCAGTAAATCAACTGGTTTTGCTAATTAATCACCTACTTGAACAGTGTTTTCAAATATTTAACTGGCAGAACTGTCTGAAGTTACTTGTAAAAAGCATTAAATTTGTGAAAAAGTCATTTTAGTTTAGTCGAAGTACCACAAACAAACAAAAAAGGGATAGAGAAGCAGTGCTCTACCATTCCCACCTTCAGCAGGTAAGTCTTGGGAGATTGTTGAAAGTAATGTTGTTCCCTTTCTCCTTCGGAAAAATCTAGCATAAATACCAAATGCCAGCAACAGAGCTACCACTATGGCTGCTATAGATATCCCAGCGATAACTCCACCTGAAAGTCCTGTTTATATGAAGGCAAGATATGAAGTCAAAAGTAAAACAAATTATCAATCAATGAACATCCCAATATCATAATCATCACAAAAGCGACATGCAAAGAAGGCCAAACCACCTGTGCTGTAAACAGAAAGAAGAAACAAATTTAGAACTTCCGAAGTTAAAAATTTAGACAAATGATGATAATAGATTAACTGATTTCAAAATTTAATGTTTTATTATCTACCTTGATTTGAGGGGACGGAAACTATTGTCAGCATCTGCAAAAAAAAGTATCCCTTAGTGAGGCAAACTACCAGTTGTTTATGACACTTGGGATATACAGCCACAAAGCCATACCCTTGGCGTTTAAATATCGGCAAGTGGACCATATTGTGTAAAACCCACAGGTATCTAAACAACAGCCTAGTAATGAAAATATTTCACGTATTGAAAACAGATTGATACATAAATATACTCCAAACATCACCTGGATGACAATTAAACACGGAACACAGCAAGTAAAATGAATGGATACATTTTGATGACAGTGAAACAAATGTTGACATCATTTACAAAAAAATCAAACTCCCCCATCACTCTATGCAATAACATTGACCTTATAAATTTCCTACGTGAGAAAATCATTGTTGCAACTCAACTCCTAGAGAGTGAATTCTTTCTAGATCATCAACATTAGCTAACCTATGATCAATATTAGAGAGAAAAAACCGATGAAGCGGAATTTAAACTAAGTCAACTATTCATCTATCGCTAATGCAACCACTCACTAATTGGAAACTAAAACTGGTAATCATAGATCAAAATTAACCCTTTCTTTGTGCCATAAAGTCATCTTAATTTCACTTGCCTAAATAAACAAATGTTAAAGGAATCACCTCTGCCCGGAATATACACCAAGCCAGCCCCTGAGCTGAAATTTTCCCCGGGGTTGTAACTCTGCACCAAGCCAGATAAATCCGATGACAAATTCGTCTGGGTCAACACAGTATTCAAAGTCTCTTTCGGTCGGAGCGGGTACGTAATAAACAAACCGTAATCCCTGGAAATAACAGGATCTCCGCACGAACAATTAACCACCACATCAACCACCCCACTGTCCGGTATATTGGTCGGAGGGTAGCTATTAAAGCGCTGCAACCAATCAGCCGTCGTCAAACCTGAATAATATTCAGAAGCGATTTTGTCGTAAGTGTCGCCTGGTCGAACTGAGAAGGTGAAAACGTGGCCAAGGAAATCGCCATTGATGCAATCGCAAGGGAAAGGAACGTTGAGCCTGCTAAAAGCCTGAACACTGTCTTTGTTATGAACTTGCCTGTTGTAAATAAGGATTGGATCGAAATTAAGTGTCGAGAACGGTACGATGCTGGAGCTGAGAACCTCGGATATGAAGGTCAAGTTCACTCCTTGCCAAACGTAGTATGACGCTAATGCTAAATCGCATCCTCTGCTGCATCTTGATTCTACTGAAATCGACGAAATTGAGATAAAAAGCAACAGAATTGAGATTAATTTCAGCATTTCGGGAAACTGAAAACCCAAGATTTCGAATTTGGGGGGTTTAAAAGGGAGGAGAGTTGAAGGCGAACGGAGGATAAATTTGAGAACGTTGACCGGAGATATTTGAAAATTGGGTGATGATGAACTGGGAAGGAGAAAGAGATGTGACGTTGAAGTGGTTAGTAGGTAATTTTGGCGCTTATTTGATTATTGTTTTTTCTATTGAATTAATTTAATTGTCGCCTTGCTTGCAGCTGAGTGTGTCGTGCCAAACAATTATGATTTCCCGCGGTTTTATTTTTTGTATTCGGAGAATGGTAGTCACACTCTCGTCACCCTGTCATGTGTAATGCACCACCTTTTGGAAGGCGGCGATGCCGGCTGACTCTGTCCACGTTGCTAGCAAATATTAATTTTATCCTTTTTATTATGGTTTTCTTTAAAGATTGAAAAAAATAATTTTAGGAATAATTTTTAAATATATTATTATTTAATATATATAAATATTTTTTTTTGTTACAAAGAGAGATTGCTAACAAGCAGGAGAAAATCAGTTAAGTCCAAAGATATGCCCCTGTCCAAAAGAGGTCGAGTTCCAGCAGGCGGATGCCCCAAAATGGTAAGACCCAAATTATTATAGAGCCAAGACGAGCCAACGAGTCAGCAACGATATTTGCATCACGGCTGATATAAACGAACTTAAGGCACCGATGCTGGCTTTGTTCGGCCATTTCCCAGTCCTTTTCTACTTTTTAATATTATGTTGTTTAATTTTATTATTTTCTACTTTTATTTTAACGTATTTATAATTTTTTTTCTCTTAGTCTTTTTCTGATAAAGAGTATCATGGCTATCGATATTTCTTGAGTTTCCGGAGTAGGCATCTTTCATTAATTTTCTTGATATGGGGTTTTACGAGATTTATTGGTTTGTTTTTCTGATGTTTGATATCCTCAATCATTTTTAAATGACATTTCAATGACTTTCAAATATATGTATCAGTTATTTTGCTCTATGTCTAGTGCTCGAAGATGTCAAAATGAATCATCTCTTTTTGTTGTTGTCTCAACCATTTACGTTATTACGCTTAGAACTGTTACTAATTACTTACTGATATATTTTAATTATGATTATCCTAAATGCATATATAAGATTATTTTAAATGATGTCATTTATAACTAATATAATCTTCGTACGTTTTACAAAAAAATATTATTTATAAGTATATTTTTATTATCAATACATCAAATATAAATAATTTCTTCAAACGTATATAAATTTATAAAAAAAAAATTGGACATATTTATGGTTAATAAATAAGGGGTAAGGAGTTATGGATAACTAAAATCAATTCAAAAAAAATTAAATTTTTAGTTCAATTTGTTATTAAATTTTGACTAAATTCAAATAAAGTTTGAGGTATAAAATATGACTCGAATAACTCAAAACTTTTAGTAATTAATAGATTGATTTTTAAGTTTGAATCTGAGTCTCTCAACTCTGCATGATATATATTTCACATATGAGAATATATGAAGAAAGATAATACATATATATCGTATATGGTTATAGAAATCATTTAAATTAGAATTAATTAGTACCATAATATTATAAATATTTACAATTAAATTTAAATAGAAACTCAAATGACTCAACTCGAAAAACATTCAAAGAAAATTTGAGTTATAGAGTGGGATTCGTCAACTCAAAATTGTTGAGCTTGATTTGACTAGATCAAATGCTCACTCCTATTAATAAAATAAAGGGTAAACTACGTGTTTATTACATAAACTATCAATTTTATTTCATTTTAATACCTAAACTTTCATTTGTTTCAAAATCATACCTAACATTTACTTTCTTTTCATTTTAGTACCTCGTCGTTAAAAATGATTGCACGTGACATTTTTATGGATAAATTGCATCATTAATCACTCAACTATCTTCTCACTCCTATTTTGGTCACTAAAGTTTAAATTTTTTCAAATTAACTATTCAACTTTCAAATTGTTCATGTTTTAATCACTCTAATTTATTTTATTAATATTTTTTATGACATTACATTTTTTTATTGTTTTATTAATATATAATTCAAATAAAAAAATTAAATTTGAAAGTTAGAGTGATTAAATTATGAGTAATTTGAAAGTTAAGTAATAAAATTAAAAAAAAAACTTCAATGGCCAAAATTAAAATGAGAATATTGTTGAGTGATGAATGAGGTATTTATTCCATAAAAAAAGTATCATGTTGTAACAGTTCTGCTAAGTTTTTAACTATGAGATACCAAAATGAAACAAAAGTAAATATTATGTATGATTTTGAAATAAATGTAAGTTTAGATACTGAATCAAAATAAAACTGATAGTTTAGGTATTAAACTTGTAGTTTGCCCTAAAATAAATGTAGGAAACTGGAGAAGTTAAGCCACGCGCTAAAGGTGGGTGAAACTTATACCGGTCAGTTTGAAACAATCTATTTTATAAGCAATATTTAATTAAGATAAATGCAAATAATGATTATTTTTTATAATTGTAAGTTTGCAATAATATTCATTTTTTGAATGTTTAGATGTATTTTTATTATAGGTATATGTTTATATATAGTATAAATTATAAGTTTACTCACTAAACTTTACTCTCTCTTATTTTATTTATTGTATTTTTTAAATATTTTAATTTAATTATTAAACTTTATATATTAATTTTTTTGTCACTATATCGTTTTCTCAGTTATATTATAATGATGGGTCTTATTTTAATATTTTTAGATTAAAATATATTTAAGACAAATTAGAAAGTGATTTGGAGATATACCACCCTCCTCCACTCCAAAGTAAGGATGAGTATGTGACTCAAACACGACGATTTTCGATTGGGTCGGGTTTTTTTAAAAGAATTTGGGTTCGGGTTTGAGTTTGGTCGGTTTTTTTTATGTGGTGTTCGTGTCGGGTCATGTTTAGGGTGAAAAATATCCGACTCGACCCGAAAATAATATAATTTTACCTTACTTATTTTGGAATAATTACAATAATATCCCTCTATATATTTTTTTCCAATTAAGTCACTGATTTTATTGAATAAAAATAATATTTTTTATTATTTCGGGTCGGGTCAAGTTTTTAAGTTGTATATCGGGTAGTGTAAAATCCTGTTTTGTAGGGTCGGATAGGGTCTCGGGTGGAGGACCCTTATTCTCAGGTCGGGTCGGATGGACCAAAAACCCAAACCCATGCCCATCTCTACTCCAAAGGGAGGACGGAAACTTTTCAAGACCAAGTTGGCCACATTGCTTCAATGGAGAACAAGCTCAATTCTAAACCTTTTGGATTAAACCCATCCTTTTCGTCACTATCACCAGTGTCGCCACCTTTTGGAGACTTAATCGGATCCATCTTCGAAATAAACGACAGAATCATTGTAAACACCCAGTGGTCTGTGTACGCTTCAATAGTTCTTTTTCACAATTTACTTCATGATTTCCTCTGATAATCTTAACATAAATCTTTCCATGTTCTCCCCAGGTTGAATCAGTGGCTGACCCGTCGAGTTAGAACATGAAAACTTACCCTATATTTTAGGACTAGTTTCGTTGATTTGAATGACCAACTCATTTTGTTCTTCGCTTGTGGTGTTTATCGGAGGACTCGACTCGTTGTTGTTATTGTTCAAGTTTAACTCAGTGATATTTAATACGATTCGGACTCAATGGCGGATCTACTAAGGTTGGGGTGGGCAC